AAAATAAATTGGCATTTGGAAAGGAGTATGAATCATTGTAAATGAAGGTATAAGGAGTTTTGATCATGTAAAAGAAAAAATCTAATCGTGATGACTCAAAGTCTTGTAAATAATTTATTTTATGCTCTTACATTACGAGTTCCTTGGACTTTGTATTATCCATACCTTTCATTTCTTACTCACCTTATACCCTTGGCCCCATTACAACCTATATTAAAGACCTAAATTGATCTTAAATGTCATGTGGTTGAATTGCATGCATTTTCTTACTTTGAAGTGTTTGGCATCCTTCTTGAGATCATATTAATGCAAGTTCTTCATCTTCATATTTTAAGTTAAGTCCTTTATGGTTTAACTCTAATCTCATGTTTATAACTGAGTGATGCATTGTAGCCTTCTTCTGAGTGATTCATTTGTGAGAGGACAACTTTGGTGAGATTTGAAGTTGAACTTGTGCTTTGTATGATTTTTGAAATTGTGTGAAAACTAAGATTGGGGAATTTGTTGCATTTGGCTATCACACTAATACACTTTGAACATGTTATGTTTTGAACTTTGCCGCCTTGTAAATAATGTCTAATAGCTTTTATTGTTAAAACTTTTGAGTCATGTGCATGAGTCATTTCTCTTCATAAAATGTTCGGGAAGATTGTTTTGAGTTTTATTTTTGTTTTGTTTTTATTTGTATTTTTGTTTTTGTTTTTGTTTTTATTTTTGTTGTTTTGCTTAAAGGACTAACACAATTTTTTTAAGTTTTCTAATTACTTTGTTTTACAGAGTCAGTAAAACGTTTGTGGGTATCGTATCTGTTAAACCCCCAGGAGACACAACTCCTCCTACTAGGGATGCCTAGAGGTTTAAAGGCTTGTTGCATACGCTCAATGCAATCGAGTAACCTACGAAAGTGGTCTAATTAACTTCTTGTTTTATTCTTATCTTTGTTTTCCGTTGTTTTGCTTGAGGACTAGCAAAATCTAGGTTTGGGAGTATTTGATCGGTGCATATTTATATATCATTTTGTACCCTTCTAACTTATGATTTGATTATGTTAAACTTGTGCTTTTAATAAATTTTGTGTTTGTTTCA